GTCGGGGTGGCGCTGTAAGGCCGCTCCACTGCAGTCCTTACTGCTAATCCCTGTGGCGGAGCAACAAGCCATTACTGGCAGCTTTGTAATGTTTACATGGGTGTTTGCCAGCAGGCCTGATCAATGAATCACACGGAAACCGGGCAAACCCGGGGCCGGATCCTCAGCTGGCGTAGATCGCAGTAACATTGACTTCACTGTAGCAGAGCTGAGTGACGCCAGCTGAGGGTCTCGCCCCCTGTGTGTGGAGAAGCCACAGCTGCCCGCAGCGTCTGTCAGAGGCATTGCCCGATGGCTGGAGTACCGAGCCAGTGTCACGCATGCCCTTTGTCCGGGGCTCTCCTACTCCTCCGTGTCCCCTTTTAAAAGGACAGTCGAGATGGAAACAGCAACATTATTTAATAAGCCTCCGCCCTCCCTTGCTCTGCTCAGCGCAGGCTTGTCCTGGCTAAACAGAGCATCCCCCTCTTCACTGGCTCTCCCAGGGTCTAGCACCCAGCTTGGAAATCTACACGATGTTCAACCCCAGGCTTCCTCGCTCTGCTTGATCCACTGCTCTCTCCTTGCTGTTTAGCCCTGCAGATGCAGGAAGGTGGCTCTCACCTCCCCTTTAACCATCAGCCAACAGCAAATTCGTTTAGGACGGGTTTCGCAAAGTACCTGAGTCTCATCAACTCCCTTCAATGCTTCTCAAGGCTCAAGCCATGTCCACACTAGCAGGGTTTTGCTGGTGTGGCTATACCAGCATACCATGATACCACCAAAGTACCCCAATGTGGATGCAGCTTATACCGGCAAAGCTGAGTTTTTGCTGGCATAGCTTATTCCACCCCACCCCACCCCACTCCAAGTGAAACAAGCTAGACCAGTAAAAGCGCAGTTTTGCCAGAGTAGGTGTGTCTACACCAGGTACTTCTGCCGGCACAGCTTTCGGGGTGGAGATCACCCCGACATAGCTATGCTGGCAGAAGACTGTCATAGAGACATGCTCTCAGATCTAATCTTTCCCCATAAGTTGGTCCCTTCGGTCCCTTTGCTGAGTTTCTCTGAACTTCCTCTAATATTTTGCATGCATGTTGCTCCTTTTATCCAAGGACGAGAGCTGATCAGAAAACATGGGGTGTGTTTGGTGGGTTTTATTCCCCGTAGAATTTTTCAAACTTTTTTGTTGAAAAATACTTGAAAACCAAAACTGGGGGGATTTTTTGGCAACTGAACACGGAACATATTCAGCCGAAAACTGCCCCAAACCGAAAATATTCAGCCAAACCCTTTGAAAACCGAATAATTTCCAGCTGAAAACTGCCAACGTATTTCAGCGTCCCAGCAAATCATCAAGTTTTTGTCGAGGAAAACTGATCCTGCCTGGGAACATTTGTGTTGAGTCAAAGACCCAATTTTCCAGCAAAGGAAAGCTTTGACTGAAAATGTTCAACCAGCCCTGCTGAGGAGCTCAAAACATTTTAAAGATAGGGAAACTGAGGCCTGAGGTCACGCAATGAGCTGTCTTGTCTACATCGGAAAAGGACCAGCAAACCTTTCTAGTGCAGACCCAGCTTTTATACTGACCAAAAAGTGCTCGAGCTGTTGTAGTGTACACAGCGAAATAAGCGCTATTGGCACAGTATTGGACCAGGAATAGTGCTTAGCATAGACCTGGCCTTGGTAGCAGAATTTGGGTAAGAACCCAGGTCTCCCCCTGCTGCTGCAGTCACTCGTAACTGGCCACCCTGGGCTAGGGTGACCAGATGTCCCGATTTTATAGGGACAGTCCTGATTTTGGGGTCTTTTTCTTATCTAGGCTCCTATTACCCCCCCTCCCCACCCCCTGTCCCCGATTGTTCACATTTGCTCTCTGGTCACCCTATGCTGGGCACATACTGGGTACTGATGTGTCCAGAAACGCACCCCATGGCTCATCAGTGCTGTGTGGAGGGGGGCTGTCACTCATCCCCCTCTTCATTCAGCCCTTTGTAAAGGAAGTTCACCTGGAGGGTGGCTCAGGAGGGCCCTGCGCAGGGTGTCGGTGCTACACCCAGATCAGGGATGGTTTTAAACCTCAGAGGGGTAGCCGTGTTAGTCTGAATCTGTAAAAAGCAACAGAGGGTCCTGTGGCACCTTTGAGACTAACAGAAGTACTGGGAGCATAAGCTTTCGTGGGTAAGAACCTCACTGCTTCAGATGCAAGTACTGGACCCTCTGTTGGTTTTAAACCTGGCGTTCGATTAAACTTAGTACCCAAAAAGCCCCATTGCTGCCGTGTGTCCTTTCAAAGCACCACACACCCCTGCTGCTCTCCTGGCCCCCTCAGCCGACCTTCAGTCCTTCAAGGGACAGGGCACAGGCAGGGGGGCTGGAACAATTTGTACAGCGGGGGTGCTGAGAGCCATTGAACCGAACG